ATGAATCATAGTAGTTCCTTTATTATTTCATATTATATCCATTATTATATCCATTGATTTTATTATTATATAAAATAGATTTTTCTACGATACCAACTCAATTGACTTGCATCATTTATATGTATAAAGATAATTTTAAATATAGGATATCATAAGGATAACAATAACGTGCTCACAGTCCAATTACACAATCCATATGTTTCAACAAATTCTTTATCATTATATGTAATTCAATATTTTTGTACAAAAAAAAATCGATTTGAAATTTACACAGAATATCCGCAGTTCAAGAAAAAGAGCGTACTTCAGAAAACACGAAGTATAATAATTATGTAGTGTATATGTGCACACACATTGATAGATTTCGGATTCTAATCAAAATATGAAATATGAGTTCTTTATCGTATAAACAACGTACGTTGATTATGGAATGAAATAAAAAAACAAATCGCTTTACATTCATTTCAATATATATCGTATATTTGTTACGTTATTGCGAAGGGCCGTTAGCACGTTTGTCAGGTTTGTCGCGGAAAATTCTCATTTTATGTACAGCGAGTTTTTTATCACATATCGACAAACCGGCTCAAAGTTTACAATAATTATAGAAGGTAATATATTGATGCTTTTCATAAAATAAAAAGATTTCTTAGATGATGTTAGGCTTTCCAAACCGTAGACGTTTTTATTGTGCTAAACTATGCCAGGTCTTATTATATGCATTACAAATTGTTGTCAATACTCTCACGAAGAAGTGAATTAATAAAAGATTGGTTAAGAAAATAAAACTCAATTTAATGATAATGATGAGATAGATAAAGCTGGAATAACTCAATTTCATCGGATCTACAAACAAAAATGAAAATTATTTTTGCTGTTCCATTGAAAAGTTATATCTGAAAATAATTTTCAATCAATCAAATCTACGAAAAGCATTATAATATGTGAGAATCTATTTCTTTACACCGAATACTACCTATATGAGTATTAAATATTAATACGTCGATAAATAACGTAAAAAAAAAAAAAAAAAACATGTAAGTGTTGAAATAATTTGATATGTGTTTGACGACAAATACATTATTTACTGTTAAGAACGCTTTTCAAATGTTTATATCGATATGCTCTATAGTAGTGTACAGCTTATAACATAGAGATGTGTGAGGAAAGTGTCTCGATAAATTCGTTTATCGCGATATTAGTATATATACATGTGTGTTGTGAAGTACTTGTATATTATTATCCCTTTTGAACATTCTGTTTACGTTAAGATATCATAATTTGGCAATGAGAGAGTGCCAGAGAGAAAGAGCGAGTAGTAAACTAAACAAGCTCGATGTAAATGTATTATTAGATCAGTTGAATAGATAGAAAAATATAATGATTCATTGTCAACATAGAGAAATGTTAAAACATTTAGAATCACAGCTTTTCGAAGCATTACATCTGGCTTATCGAGATCAAAACAGTCAAATAATAAAAATCGCTGTAATAAATTTATACAAATTTAGCTAGCTGCCTTTTTAACCAAATATTCCAAATATTGTCGATAGAGTGGATATTATACGTATGCTTCATATCGCTATAGATTTTCTTGTACAGTTAATAAAGTTTTTGAATAAAGGAGGCCCGGTTGATGAATCACATTTGGCTGAGGACGACCTAAAGAATCAAAATTAATACCGTGAATTAACACGCACTGCGAAAAAATTCTCTGTGAATAATTACATGAATAATTACTGCGGATATTGTTTATCGCACGAATACCTACTTACGCTTGCTGGCTCGTACTGGCCCGAACATCTTCGTTTTAAAATTTTTGAACGAAAAGACTTGGTATTTCTAGATGTGTATAAAACAGTTTGACTTTATGTCACAATAAAATATAAAATATCTTGTATTCAATTTTTCAATTATTTTACCTTAATGTTTTTATTTTCTAACTAAATAAGTAAATAAATCTTACGTGAAAAATATATTTCTGCTTAAAAGATGTATGGTCTATACAAGTCAGAGATGACTCCCACACACATTAGAATAAAATGTAAAATTTCTTCGGAACAGGATACATTTGATCCGAGATCATGTTTGTACATGTTTAACAACAAAAATTTCAAATGTTGAAATATCAAGTGAAACATATAAAATTTAAAAATATAGATGAAAACTGTGAAAAAAGTTATTGTATTTAACAATAATTTTTATATAATTCAAATCCTACTTAATATGTATCAATATTTAATTATTTATACAAATTCAATTGATTCAAATAAATTAAAATATGTTTATCAATATAAAACAAATCGATACGTTAGCTTAATTAGTACAGTTTAAATATAACCGGCAAATATAATCAAATGAGAATAAAAGAGGGATATAAATAAGATATTAAAGATACGTATATATATATATATATATATATATATATATATATATATATATATATATTTGAAGAAATATAATGGATTTTCTCTTCTGAATTATGACTTTCGATAACAATTTACTATAACATACACACATACACGCACGCATGCACACATTTATATGCATATATATATATATATTTACTTATGTAAACATTTTTATGTCTCATTTATCTTACTATGCATGCATACACTTTTGTATTTCAATCTAATAGGGCGTAATATCAAGAGAAACAATCATCTGTATTTATATTTCACGTGCACATATTTTCGGCCTGCCGGAATTCTTATTTACATTATATAATTCCAGTAAAGCAAAAGTAATGCCACGTAAAATCACATGTCCGATGTCGAACATTTTTTGGTAGATATCATGACTAACAAGATGTAAAATATTTCGCGCGATTTTAAATATAAATAGTAATTAAAGCGTCGCTAGTACATAATTATTAGTTGATTTTTATGGAAGCCGTATGTGTATGCAAACGTTTCGATTGTTTAGCACATGAATACGTAGTATCGGCAAATTTTCTTCTTTTTGATGTGAAATCAATTACCTATAATTTTCTTTGATATAACTTTATATGTACGGATGTAACGCCAGGGCTCTGCCGCGTAAGCCCTTTTGACCTCCAACGCCACCCTTTGGTATAACATATCCTCCTGCGTGTCTCGTCGCACCCTCTTCCTCCAAGTTGCCATTACTTTCGATCAAATCGCGTAAAGGCCAGCAAGCCAGATGACGCGATTTACCATGACGTGCCAGAACGTGATATCCTTGTCTGAAAATATTAACTGCTATAAAAACGTGTCTTTATAATTTACAAATTTGATCTAAAATATAGAGATAATATATCAGAATCTCTTAATTATTATTATTAGTATTATTATTGTAAATTATACCTAGAAGAGATTAAACCCACAAGTAATGCCCAATGTGCTTTATGACCTTTTTTTAAACATGGAGCGTGGTTAAAGTCAGAATCATATGGTATCAATACCATTGCTCCATGTGCTAAAGCATGAGTTAATGTATCTGGACATTGTTGTAAATCTACTAAAATATCTGGTTTGTGATCAGGCAAATATTCCGCGGCCAATGTTCCCATAAAATCGACGCTGTACACTTCTCCATGCTGCGTAAATCCTCTAACACGAGCTTCAGCAAGAAGCTGATTCACAGAAACTGGTTTTGTGTATTCTTGCGATGCCATTGAAAGCGCCACTAAACCGCACCTGCAAAGCGATTTAATGTCTTGATTCAGGCTTTATTACATTTCTAAAAACTTAAAAATATTAATCATACATGAACTGGATGTATATTAATACAAAATATAGAAAATGAAATCAAAGATTTCAAAATTGCATATAAGAACAAATTATATTATTTCCTTAAAATAGAAAGATTAAACATTAGGATTTTTAATAAAATATAAAAATATATTAAAGTAACTACTCACTGTGGCCCATCTTGGAGAATCGGTTCTACTTGACAAAAGTAAGTTACCTCTGCGTCTTTCAACTCATTTCGCGAAATTAGCTTTTCGATTTCAGCTTCTGCAGATGTAAGCGTGATTTTGGCCCAAGGGGGCAAAGAATCGGTATCATTGACTTCCGTTTTCTCACACATAGGTGCTTCAGGCAAGCTTGAGAGGGTCGGGGATGGTGCTGGCATTTCTTAGTGCCAAAAATGCAAATCAATCGTCGATATAAAAAGACATACAATAAATATTTTAACAGCTACGAAATGTCACCCACAGATGAGAGATATCTTATTTGTATCATCGCTCGCAATAACCTTTCGACAACACATTCAATATCAGTATTCTTTGTTCATTCTAGAAAGCTCCTTAAAATTTCCTGCAAGGTTTACAAGAGCCTATAATCACACATCACGTTGTAATTTTTAATTAGATTCGAATTTAATCAATTTGAGGGAAGCACACACATTTCTATTTGTAATTTGAATTATTGTTATTCGAGTCTATGTAGAACGATTGGAAGAGATAGTTAAAATACCATTTGCTCGTAGAGTCATCTAATTCTGAAAAGTTTCGATAACGAATCACGATATTAACACGATATCAGCACGACGAGAACGGTGCGAGGGACAATGTCAATATATCCTACAAGTTGAAAATCGAACATATTCTCCGAGAGATCTCTAATGGCAGCGCATCGCACGATCAAAGTGTGAAAAGGAACAATAACCAATTTCTAACGGGATATAAACATATTAACTATCTCATCGATGTTAATTACGAGCGAACGATGCGGAAGCTAGTTTCTCAAAGGAGAGAACACGAAAAAGAGAGTAAAAGAGAGAGAGAGAGAGAGAGAGAGAGAGAGAGAGAGAGAGAGAAGA